TGTTTCTGCATGTCGTCGGGATATGATCAACTCGCTACGCACTGATCAAATGGCATATGATCTGCGAGGCAGCCAACGACTTCGGTGTACCCAAGCATCAGACCGAGCAGAACATCCTGTCGTTGAAGCTCATTCCGCTCTGGGGCTTGGACTTCCTCACGCCCACCCACGGTCTCTTCCGGAACAAGCTTGACTCGGAAGTTGAGAACGTCACCTCAGCCAGCGACCTCGACATCAAGCTGAACTTCATCCCTATCCTGACGGCGTTGGTGAAGGGTGCGCGAGCCGTGACCCTCTCCAGGGCCGATATCCAACAAGCAACAAGAGCCCTGGTCAACCTGAACACATACTTCCAGGACTCGCGGCATTGGACTCAAATCTGGAACAGTGATATCGTGAAGGAGAGCTGGCGAGACCTCTGGCTCACCCAGGAAATGCCCAACGCGTTGCCCTCGTCGCAATGGTTCCATACAGAGCTTCCTACCCTGGGCACCCTTGACATTGCTCTCGAGCTCTGGTACCGCTACCTGTTCATCTTCTCCATCCCGATTCCCGAGAAAATCCCCAGCGTATTCCAGGCCTCCCATCACAGTGTCAGCGCCTCGTACGGTGTCGTCTGCAAGGTGAAGCGAGGCTGCACGCTGCAGATCTGGGATCATGCCATCAGTTGGCGTGAAACCAACCTCTGTCTGTCGTCCGCACTCTGCAAGCTGTCGCCCTTCGTGCGAAACTGTCTCCTGGGACTGATGCGTATCACCTCCGCCCTGACTCTACACCACGCGGACATCATCCTCCCCTGCGCCGACTTCTTCAATCCCGGCTGGGAAGTCGAAATCGGTACGTGCCAGGGCACTATCGAGCACCGCAATGTCTTCCGCCGCAAGGTCGACCCCGTCGTCAACGGTATCACCGACATGCAGAAGTTCGCCCCTGTCAAGGAGATCAAGTCCCAACGGCCTACCGTCACCATGCTGTCCCACGTGTGGTACGCCAAAGACATCAAGACGGCGCTCCTCGCGGCCGACATCATCATCAACCAGTGGAAATTCGACGACTACCACCTGGACATCTACGGCGCCATCGACAAGGCCCCGACCTACTCCACCGAATGCCAGGAGATCATCGCCTCCAAGGGCCTCCGCGGCAAGGTCACGCTCCGCGGCACAGCAGATCCCATGAAGGTCCTCGAGAACACCTGGCTGTTCCTCAACTCGTCCCTGTCGGAAGGCCTGCCCCTGGCCCTGGGCGAGGCCGCGCTGACCGGCGCGCCGGTCGTCTGCACCGACGTGGGCGCCTCGCTCCGCGTGCTCAGCGACCCGGATGACTTCTCCCGCTTCAGCGCCGTCGTCGCGCCCAACGACGCCCTTGCCCTCGCAAAGGCGCAGATCTCCATGCTCGGCCTCCTCGGCGAATGGAGCCAGTACGCCGAAGACACTGAGCCCGCTCCCGTGCTCACCTCCTCCCCCACGCCCGACGACGTCGCCCGCATCACCCGCCGCATGTACGAGAAGAGCGAGCACCGGCGCAAGCTCGGCATGATGACCCGCCGCATCGTCCAAAAGTCCTTCTCCGGCGACCGCTACCTCCGCGAGCACGAGCAGATGCTCTGGATCGGCAAGTCCGCCAAGATCATGTCCTCTCGCCTCGCCGGCACCGTCACCGAGCCCGCCGACATCGCCACCGCCGTCCAGCAGGCCCTCCCCATCGAGGAGGAGGTCATCACCATCCCCCGCAGCGCCGTCCACTCCTGGCGCTCCTCCGCCGTCTCCGGCGTGTCTACTCTCTACAGCTCCATCTCCAACTTCCCCATGCTCGGCCCCGCCGCCGGCGGGAACCAGCACCGCGCCTCCTCTATCCGCTCCGGCTTCAGCGGCGCCTCCACCGACACGGACTCCTTCCTGCCGCTCCCCAGCAACGCCTCCCTGCCCATCTTTGCCCCGCGCCAGACCCTTTCCTACTCGGCGGTCCCGAGTGGTCGCATGTCGCCAAGTGGCAGGATGTCCCCGTCCGGAAGGCTGTCGCCGCTGCCGCGCCGCAGTGGACATCACTCGCGCACGGGGTCGCTCTCCACAGCTGGGCGTGAGCAGGTGCGCGGCCTGCAACGCGAGGATCTGCACCAGTACCGCAATTCGGATGTTAGCACGATTATGCGCGATGAGTTCTTGCAGTCGAGTGTGTTCCGGGGTATTGAAGAAAACGGGAACTAAAACTAAGCTGTCGTTGTTGCATTCCTTTCCTTGTTTCTTGTCTGGCATTTATACCCTCATCTATGTGTTGTTGATATCTGAGTCGGTAATAGTTAATGTACATAAATTTACTTGTCCTGCATCTGCTAACATCACATTTCCACGAAGGCTCCCCTACGTAGCTGTTGGGTGTATGTCATCCGAGAATACGTGCTCATCTAAGACCTCTTGGGGCAATTTGAAGGCAGCCGCGAACATGCACCTAGTTGGCGAGTCAAACATGGCAATGTCTCTCATATTGCAAAGTATATAGCGAAATATTGCACTAAATCACCTGTCCCCGAACTCCAAAATGCTTGATAATGACCCTCAATCAATGCACAAACACAGGAAGCGCGCGTTTAAACCGCTGCCACATGGAGTTGTCCGGAACCGGGGCGGCAATCCGGTGCCATTCGCCGTTGAAAGCGTTGACCAGCCAGTTCGAAAGACCTGAGACAATTAGTCTGTGCTTCAAAGACCGTTGGTCGCTAGACTTACGCTCATAAACCATGTAATGCGCATTATGGAAGAAAATGCTATGGTCTGAGTCGGGGTAGAAATGCACGTCGTAATTCTGCACGTTCGACAAGTCCAGCTTGTCGATCAGCGTGAGTGTGTTCTGCAGATGGACGTTGTCGTCGGAGGCTCCGTGCATGACGAGGAAGCGGACGTTCTCTTCCAGGGCGGCCATATCGGTGATAGATGAGTTGTCATAGCCGGATGGATTATGTTGCGGCGTGTGCATGTACCGCTCGGTATAGATTGAGTCTGGCTCAGTTAGCTTCTCTATATCTTCCTCTGGTTGCGGAGAGGGTGTGCCTACCGTAAAACCGCCAATCGGTGACAGGGGCGACGGCCATTCCGTACTGGAAGGTCTGTCCGGCATCCTGTTCCAGGGTTTTCAGGGTCATGAATCCGCCGTAGCTCCAGCCCCAGATCGCCATGCGAGATTCGTCAACGTAGGATTTTTCAGCAAACATCTTTGCCGCGGTGATCTGATCGTGCGCTTCGTAGTATCCCAGGTTGCCTCGAATGATGCATCGGGCCTCGCGTCCGATGAATCCCGTGCCCCTGCCGTCCAGAGTGACCACAATGTAGCCCAGATTGGACGCGACGTACGACTGGAAGTCGATGGTGAACTTGCGGTCCACGGTCTGCGAGCCGGGGCCACCGTAGAGGAAGAACAGGACGGGGTATTTCTTGTGCGGATTGAAGTGCGGAGGCCGACGCTCCACCATCTGCAGCGTAAACCCGTCAATGGTAATATTCGAAAAGACTTTGCTGGGGATTGCGTATGTCTCCACCATCCGGGCAAGTTCGGGGTTCTCCTCGATGGTCTCCTCGAAGACGACATCGTCACCCTCGGTGTTGATAATCGCCTGCCATGGAATCGAAGGCCCTTGGTAACTGAGTAGGGCGTACGCAGTTCCATCAGAGAAGGATACATGGTAATAACCAGGTTTGGAAGTGTCTGTCAAGGGCTTGAGATTCGACCCATCCAGCTGCACCTGATACACATGGCGCTGCGTGGGTGCCTCCTTGGTAGCCACAAAATAGACAAGGCCTCTCCGCAAGTCAACCGCGGTCGGGGCTTCCACGACTTCCCACTCACCCGTTGTGAGCATAATAGGTTCCGGGTTGTCGAGTGGCGTGAAATACGCGAGGTGGTCGTAGCCATCATGGATGACCGTGTCAATATAACCATCGTTAGGGCGTCCCGCAGCTGGATCAGCAGGGATAAAGCGCGTGGATTGCGATGGTTCGACCCAGCCGCCGTCAAGACCAACAATGTCCTCCAATCGAACCATCTTCCCTGTCCTGGACTCCGTGTCTATCAAGAAGATCTTCAACACGTCGCTTTCGCGGTTTGTCGCGCGAACAAGGACGTTGCTTTCCGCAGCCCACAAGACTTCAATGATGATGCGATCGTCGTCCGCAAAGTCGTCTGGGACTTCAACCGAGAACACCTCGTTCTTTTCGACATTGTAGAATTGCAGATTGACCACCGGGTTCGGTGCACCGGCCTTGGGATATTTGATCTGCCGGACGTCGGGATAGTCTTCGAGCCCTGGGAGAGGTTTCTTGCCGGATGGCCTCGACAAGAAATACTGGACCGGATACTCAGGGACGGTCGACTCGTTGGTTCTGAGAAATGCGACGTACTTCGCGTCGTTCGACCACCAGGTCGCACTATTCCCGGAGAGCACTTCCTCCTCATACACCCAGTCCGGGACGCCGTAGAACAAGTCCTTTCCTCCGTCCTTCGTGATGGGAACAACTTTGTCTGAGGATAGCTTTCGCAGGAACATATTATTATCCCTCACAAAGACAACAGCGTCAGAATTGGGCGACCAGCTGGCAAGCTGCACCCGTCCCTCAGGGACATCAGGGTCCAGCGGTTCCGCGGTTTGGCTGTCCACGTCAAAGATCCAGTACAGTCCGGTGTATGAGTGTCTCCAATTCTTCTCGTAGTCGGACAGAACCAGCACCTTCTTCAGATCGGGACTGGGCCAGGTCAGTCTGGTAAGAATCGACCTCTGACCCGCATAAAAAGTCGACTTCTTCATCAACACCCTGCTCTTCAAAGTCCCCGCGTCATCGCCGTGTCGGGCGCGGATATCCTTCACCCGCAGAAAGCCCTCGCCTCCGTCCTCTCCTGCCTCCACCAACAGTCCATCCTCCCCGTCCGGACCCGCGATCCACGCGATACCGTGCGACCGCGGAAGCCAGTCCCCAGACAGCACCTGTTTCAGCGTCACCGGCTTCCCGTCGCTGGTGACGCCCGCACTCGAATCCGCCTCGTGCTGCTGCAGCTCTTCCGAAGTGGCACTGTAGCCCGACCGTCCTTGTATCAGGAAGAGCACGAATGCGAGCACCCACCCCGCCAGACAGAGCAGCAGCAGGCCCCAGAAGACCCGACGCGCGCGAGCCCCTGAACCCTTGCGCGAAGGGAGGAATGGCTGGTCTGACTCGGCCTCTCCGTCTTCGATATCCCGGTATCGCGGATCCCCTGCGGGATTGTAGGCTTCGTCTGGTGTTTTGCCGTATGTACTGTTGCGTATAAGCGCGGATTCAACAGAGAGGCCGGAGTCGGAGGAGGTTTGGGAGGCGGCGGAGGAGGACCGCGGACGGTTCATGGGGAGGAATTGGGCGTCTTCGTCGGCTTCAGACTTGCCCATTTTGGCTATTGTGTCGTAAGGAGGTGAGTCGATCGAGCCCAATGTGTGCTGGAGGGTGAAAGACGTCAAGGGCGGGCGTGGTCCTGATAAGACCGGGGGATGTTTATCGTCGCCGATCCGAGGCGACGTCTGGGGCGACCAAGAGGCGCCAATTCATAACCTTTTCCGACAACGTATAGGAAGTCTAATGATGCGACATTGCGAGAAAACAAAGAATATGAGGATGCTCAGGGTGGTGTTCTGGTGGACGAGGATGGATGATGAATGGGGACAGGCTGAGGCGATGCAGCCTTGGCATGTCGTATTCCTATTCACCTCCTTTCTGGGTTAGTCGCATCCTACAGGATTCCTACAGAGTACATTTCTACAGAGTACATCAGCATTTAATATTAGAATATTTGATCTCAATCGTTGTCATGTCATATGGATGCGATAAGATAAGTATAGGTAGCTGTCAATGTATTCGCTGTGTTAGTGCATTACCCGTGGAACTATCAATAATGACGGTTTGCACTCGCCTTGCAGGCATATCCGCAGCAGGCGTCGTTCAGAACACCTGAAAATAGATCTCGATCTAAGTGAGTGTCTCTATCGCATCCAGTATGGTGATCCGAGACAGTTCACAATGACCACAGGGTTAGTGGGTAAGAGCTTTGGTGCATCGCGGGGAGGAGTCGTCATGCTAAAGAGCTTCTTCAGGCGACGCTTCATATAGCTAATCATGTTCGTATCCACTGGGGAGGACGACTCGACATGAGAATGGTCGTTAGACGATGGTGAAACTGGTCCGTGAGGTATCCGAAACAGTAGTGATGAGCTGATGCTCATTTCTACCCTGGGATGGGAGCATTTATATATTTTGGCAGTCCATCGATACGCTCCATTGTACGGGACGTTCCGTCCGAAGCGTGATTCTCCAGTGTCGAACAAAGAAGACGGATGGGTCTATCATTAGACACAATGGACGATGTCATGATGCGCCACAGTTGTCACGCATAGATGAAACTCCGCAAATCTGACTACTGAAACAGCCCGGATAAGCATTGTCAATGCTATTCAAAGCCTCGAGAACCCAATAACTCGCATGCCTGGAGGCAGATGGGTAGCTGAAGGCATCCGTGAGATCATGGCGAATAATAATAGTAGCAGCACCGCCCGCCTATCGACGAGTCTAGTATTTGTCGTCCACGTCGATCCGCTCTCGACTCTGGGCGATCCATGGCGGGGCTACAGGGCTGAGCCCCCTCTGTAGACGCGTCAGGGGGAGGAAGAAAGAGAAAAAGATGGATCAGATGGAGGTTTGGTAGGATGATCGTTGGCAGGAAAAGGGTGAAGCGCGGGAGAGAAAAGAGAAAGAAGAAAGTGTGACGACAACCTAATTAGTAACTCCCCTCTTTCACCTCAGCTTCCACTCCTCTCTTCTCTCTCCTCTCACTTCTCCCCTCTGCTTCTCTTTTTTTCTTCTTCTCCTCTTCCTCTCTCATTTCCCCTGTACAGCATTCTTGGCTTGCGGAGCGGTTTCGGCGCAATTCTCAGGATCCAAGCACTGTCGCACCCACTCGCATCTCGGCATTGGCACCAAAAACGTCATCTGGGCGCCCCGACTGGGTTCAGCTAGGCAGACGGATTCTGCCCTATCGGTCGGGTTTCTTCTTCGGGTTGGACACGAACGGTCTATATAAGATCCATGTGCCTCTGATCAGGCGTTTGGAACATATTGGAACCATCGTGCTGCGCAAAGATGTCGGCGGAGAAAACTATCAGTGGCGATGTCGCGCCGACCGACCAGTCGTCGGAGACCCCTAACCAGATCCTGACGGGAAAACAAGAGCATTGTACGTGATTTTCCTTCATCGACCTGCGCATCTCACTCACTGGAACAGATCTCAAGCGCGAACTCATCGCCCGCCAGGTCCAAAGTGAAATCGCTGAGCTGAACTCCCCCACCGCCCTTCAACGCTTCGGCGCTCCGTTCAGATCGGAATACGGCGAAGTCGCACCCGTCGATTCAGAACTTCCTATCCTTCGTTACATCTTCGTACACCATGTGCGCAACTTTCCGTTCCTCGACCAGGCCCGCGAGAAGGAGTTTTGGCAGGATAAATTACAAGTGGTGCGTGTGCTCCCCGCGTTGCGTCAATGAGGGGTAATCGCCAAACATAGCTGACTATCGACCGTATAGTTCCTAGAATCATTCGCAAAGAAAAATGTGTCGTCATCAGAAGACCGCTTGGAGGAGACAAAGCGCAGAAAGCTGGCCAGAAAATGCGAGAAGCTCGTGGAGCTCATGATGGTGTCGGGAATTCCCACCGCGTCCGGTTATGAAGAGCGGATACAGTTCTCCGAGATGGAAGTCGTTGATCGGGGGGCCAATGAGAAGGGCCTGCTGGTCAATATGCCAGAAGGGCATGCGATCAACGGTTGGGATATCAATGTGGCTGCCGTCCGCATTGCCTCCGTGAGGAGGACCGTACGGTATCATCAACATGCAGTAAGGCGCCTCTTGTCCTCCAGGTCGTTATCAACCGGATCGGATGCTAAGTCATGCGCAGGAATTCATTCTTCGTGTCCGTCGTGAAGGTCACCCGGAGATCTACGTCGCCCGCCGATATGGGGAGTTCGCGAAACTCCACAGAAGATTACGCACCGAGTTCCCCGGAAAGCCGCTGGCCCCCCTCCCCCGCAAGAATAAGTCATCCACGTCGTCTTCGAGCTTTTTCAGCTACGGCGACGACGATGCATCTTCAGTCTCCTCCCTTTCAACACAGAGCACAAGCACTCCCGACGAAGGACAGTCGAACACTCATCTAACCCCGGGCACCAACAACCTCCACCGTTCGCTGTCTAGGTCGTCTCTGCGTTCTTCCCTTGGACGGCCAAAGTCGCCCAGGGCCTCCGGGGAGGTGCCTCGAGATGCGGTCCTGTACAGAGAGGAACAAAGAGTCTCCCTTCGGGCCTTCCTGCGCACCCTATTGCAGAACAAGCGTGTGGCTGAGTCGAAAGCGCTGGAAGAGTTTCTCACTGGCGCACCTATCTCCTTGAACGAAGAAGAGATTATTGACATCGAACGAAGGAAAGAAGTGGATGCTATACGGATAGAGGAACAGAAACGATTCTATGAGATCGCGAGGCAACGCGCGGCCGAGTTGGACGTCTACATGGAGAACTTCCGTCGGGATATCGTCGAGAGCAGTAAGCATCGCATTGCAACCAGTGTTACTTCATATCTTCCTAACCATCGACTTGTTGCAGATGGTCTGACAAAGCTTTTTGCGGAAATCCGGGAGAAGGAGAAGATCGAAGATCTTAGCCCTCAGTATCAGAAGTTTGCTGAGTGGCTCCGCATTGAGTGAGTACTACTCCCTCGATAACCTTACAAGCCTCGCTAATAAGTCTAGGGTTGCTGCCACTCTCTATCATCTGTTCCTGGCGGAGGACAACTCCCCAGAGCTATTCGCCCAGTTCAAGAGAATCCACTCCTTGGTCCCCTATACGTTATTAAAGAACGTGATCCGGATTGCAAACCCTGCCGCCGTGATGTCCGGCGTATTAGATCTTTTCCTCGCACAGCCCTTCGGATCACGATCTCTCCTGCAGCGAATTTTCTCCATGACTTTGAATGATGGCATTAGAGCTTTCCAAAAGTCCATTGACGCGCTGGCCGCGAAAGTTGGAGATCCGATAGTTTGCCAGAAGCTGAAGGCATTTACCGACGCGGATGAAGACCTCAAGAATGTGATCCGCGCTGAGGCTACTGCGGAAGAGCTTGATGTGATCGTGGCGATCCTGCGGTCGGATCTTCTGCCTCACGAACTCACCCCGGAGCAATACGAGAAAGTGTTCAATTCGTATGTCGCCTGGAATTATGCGGTCGACAATGTGGACGAAGAGATGAAAGAAGGGGCGCAATGGTTCGCGCATGTGAAGCAACTGCTCAAGCTTTACACTCGACAGCGGGACAAGGCCATGATGCTCAGTATTGTTGAGGAGCCTGTCACTCTCCAATTGTTCCGTGATCTCTTTACGATTTTCTATGAGCCCCTCGTGCGCGTCTACAAGTCCGCGAATGTCTACAGCAGCATCACTGACTTTGCCCAATTCGCCGATGATGCTATCTCCGTGATCGAAAAGTGCCAGCGACAGGATGTATCTGCTGATCCCAACCAGACGGTTCAGGCTTTCATCGACCTTTGCGAACGTCATCAGGCGAATTTCTATAAATTTGTCCACGAAGTGCACGTTCACGATAATGGGCTCTTTGGCTCGTTGATGGCATGGATAGAAGATATCTTGAACTTTTTGCGCCAGGGTCCACAGGGTGGTGCTCTTGACATGAACGCCCTCCTTCATGGAGCGAAGGATGTCGGCCAGATCGATAAAGACAAGGCAATGGAAGAGATAAACGCTCTTATTAGATGGCACGAGGACCGAAAACGCTGGCACCTCAGCAAGACACGCCAAAAGATGGCGGCGGAAGGAACCGCGAACGAAGCATTCCCAGGTAGCGCGACCTTCAAGGGAAGTGACTTTGGTCTCTTCGAGGTATGTTCACCTATATACTCTGCATTATGGGGTTACTGACACTAGATTGCAGGCCGACCTCGAAGATCTCGCTATCTCAGATGACGATTCCGAGCCTTCTGATGAGCTTGACGATGAGGACGATGATGATCCGATCGGCGCAGAGCGAAAGCGTCGGGTGAAGAAACAGGACCAACTTCGGCGGACGGCTGGAGAGCCGGTCAAGCCCGACGTCTCCGAGATTCTCAAGCTTTCCGAGTCATTCGGGATGATGCTGCGTATGGTTCTTGCAGAGTAAACTGGAGACGACTCTTGCTATAGATACCCTCTGTTGGATTGCATTGTTGTGTTGCATTGATGGTAGACAAGGGGGTCATGATGATGAAGTAGATCCGTTTCTTGTTGATATACTGTCTCCATTCTGATATTATAGAGCCGAATACAAGAACACACATTTAGACCGACGTTTGTTTCATTCTGCCCTGCTAGCTAGGTACTATTATCACGTCAGCGTCGCTAGTAATGCTGGCAAACCCCTCGCACAGGAGATCAAAGCGCTACTCATGCTTCGAACCCAGCGAGGTGTATTGCATACAGAACCATCAACATGTGCCAGGGAATAGCTGCCATGAGCATCCAGAGCAATCACAGCCACTTCGCCCTATCTCCATTATGACTCAGGAATAAGCCGCTGGTCTCCGCATCCAGGCTCTCAATGACCTGGAGGCATTTTCTAACACTCTCCTCCGGCTGAATCTGTCCTTTAAGTGCTGGATCCGCTGCTTGAAACTGCTTCAGCATGGCCTTTTCCGCTTCTACTACCGGAGGAGGTTTTGCTCCTGCGACGAGATCAGTTTCCAGCACTGCTGCATCAAAGCAAAAGGCCACTTACCCTCCCACGTATCAACCCATCCAGGGCTCAAAGCCAACACCTTGATGCGTCTCGGCGCAAGTTCTGCCGCGTACTTGGCAACTTGGATATTCATCCCGGCTTTTGCGACAGAGTACGCAACAGCACCGCTGACACCCGTCTTCTTGATAAGATCCAAGTCCGCCATGCCGCTAGAGATGTGCACAATCTTCTTCTGGGTGCCCTTCTCAATCAAGGGTAGGAAGGCGTTCGTCGTCCACAGCCCGCCATAGATCGCTGTACTAAGCGGCGGGTCGAAGATTGCCCGAATGGCTTCAGCATCAAAGGGCAGCTGCGTCGGGTTGGAGGACATGCTGGCCATGTCCACGGCGTTGGAGTTGTGTATGAGCACGTCGAGCTTGCCGCCGGTGACGGCAGCTGCGGCCGAGGCAGCCTCTTGGATAGATTTGGGGTCTGTCACATCGCCTTTGACGACATGCACGTTGGGGTGTTTGGAGGCGAGCTCCGATATGCCCGATGACTCGGGGTCTCGCACTATCGCGAGGACTGTGTTGGTCGAGCTGGCAGCGAGCTGGCGCACGAACTCGCGGCCAATGCCTTTGGAGGCTCCGGTGATAGCGTATGAAGTCATTATTTATTTTTATTCGGGTCAAAAGAGGATATATCCGTGATGGATGCTGCCACTGGATTTACTTCACTTTATATACCCCGTATACAATCGGCGGATTTACCACCCGTTCCGGGCCGGATGTTCCGGTTCGGCCGATCCAACTGGGCTGCAACGTCCGTTCCTCTCCCGCCTCCTCAGACATCATGAGCGCCACACCGTCCCCAGCTAAGAGAAGGGCCTGCGTCGCGTGCACGGCTGCCAAAGTGAAATGCACGCCGCACGCCGCCAATCTATGCCAGCGGTGCGCCCGTTTAGGCAAGTCATGCACGTACCTGGACCTCCCACAGTCGAGGCGGAGTCATAGGGCTGCACCGAGGTAATCCTTCCAGCGCACACAACATATGGCTCTTGTATATTGATCATGGATACAGCCGTGTGGAGGTGCTGGAGAAAAAGGTCGACCAGCTGATGTCGCAGCTGGCTGCCTTGACCCGACAGAACGGGCCGAGCCAGTCGTCGTCCTATACTCCGGATCCGCTCACCAACGTCTCGGGCTCATCCCGTGATCCTGAGCCGGATTCGACCGATATTGCTGAGATGCTAGAGGCTGCTCAAGACCCGTCCCACGGGCCCGATCCGCCGACTAGCTCAGTTCTGGAGGGCCAACCGTCTATCGTCGATCGAGGGCTCCTGGATGAAGCCGAGGCCGAAGGCTTGGTGGCGTCCTTTCAGCTTGACTTTATCCCCAAGTTTCCCTTTGTATTGCTTCCAAACGGCGAGACGGCGGCTCGGCTCCGGGGCCGAGAGCCCTTTCTGTTTCTGTGCGTCGTGGCTGCGGCCATGGGGAGTGCGCACCCTCTGCGTAGGACTGTCGTTGAAGAGATTATGGAGCACGTTACACTGAGAATTGTGACACGCTCTGAGAGGAACCTCGAGCTGCTCCGTGGTCTGTTAGTTCACTGCGCATGGTACTCATATCCCGCAGAGAGGAATCACCCGCGACTTCTGCTGTTGATTCAGCTCTGTGTTTCTATGTTGTATGACTTGGGACTCCACAGAAAGCCGAGTCTCAGTCTAGATGAGCAGCGGGCACTGCTCGGGACGTATTGGCTGTCGGCTAGGCGAGTTTGTCTGTGGTGGTAGATGCGGCTTTGGCTAACTATCTATCAGTCTCGGTGGCATACTCAGCCGGCCGGTTACTATGAAGCATGATGGTCGAATCGATGCGTGCATGGAACATATGGCATCTTCCGAGCGGCTGTCAGATCGGTGGATCGCGCCATTCATCCATATACAGTCTTTCCTGGCAACAATGGATGAAACTTACGCGTCGATGCAAGCAAGTGGTGGGAGCGTGCTTGTCCAAGTCACGCGCGGCTCGCTGCAGCGGCAATTTGATAGAGCGAGGGCATGTGTAGAAAAGGATCTCTCAAGCTGTCCTTCATCAACAGGTGCGTCTTTGATCCAAAGTGGTCGATGATGACTGACAACCCCTGCAGCGAATGCAATCCGCACTGAAGTCAAGTATGTGGAAATGAGGTTGGAGGAATTGTCCCTTCGCGAGGAACTGTGGACTGCCGAGCCTGCCAGCGCAGTCCGGACAACCATGTTGATGGGTATAATCCAGCGCGGCAAGGAACTCATTCACACGATCAGAAATCTACTGCCGTCGGAAATTGCCCAGATGACGGTCACTACCAGTAGTCGTGTGTGTGCCGCAATCGGCTACATTCCCACTGCCGTATTGACCCTTCTCAAGCTCGTTACTGCTTCGACCGACTCCGCCGTGGAAGCTCAGGTGCAGGCCGTTGTTGATGCCGCAGATTATCCCAATCTTGTTACAGAACTTGCCACCGCGCTGGAGAGGCAATTCAAGGGAATGTCCGCGGCAGACAGAGAGACGGACATTGTGGGGAGTATTTGCTCGAAGATGAGGCTGCTAGCGCGGTGTTATCCATACCAAGTCAGGGCAATTGTTGGAAATGCCCCGTCCCAGGATGCAAGGCAGGAAAATACGTCTATGGCGGTAGATCACGCCAATGATGATGCTACCATGACATCGCAAGCCTGGCCATTTATTTATGGCGATCTGGGCAATATGTTCGCTGTCGATGACATCCAGTGGGATTCTCTACTGAGTGACTTTACTGGTTTTAACTAGCATGGTTGATATATTATGTTTCAATTATTATACAAGAAGCGGATCGATGTTGCACGGTCTAGTTCGAAGATTCTCGTATGAACCTAGCCCCAACATGTGGAACAAATCCTCCAGTACGGGCTGCTTGAAATTGGTTGATATAGTATTTCCTGGAGATATCGAACAAGAGATGAATTGAGCTGCCAGGCACCTATACTCCCTATGAACACAAAGCAAGAATGAATTGAATCTGCTATGAAATGACCTGATCCTAGAATAGAACAGTCTCCCAACCTTCCACCCTCCATTCTCCATGATCACCATGCAGAGCAGAATGACAAGCTTCTAGACAATCGCCTCTTTCTTAAGCCCCTTCGACCGGTCCTGACGGGGACGGCGACTCAGATACAGAGTCCCAAGCTGACCTGCATCGCCCGAGATGAAAGCCATGGGACCCCCCAATGATAGCATCCATATACACCTTCAGAGCAAAAGACTCTTCTTGCCTTTCGGGATCTATATGTTCGGCTGCGACATGCAGAGGTAAAATGAAGAAAAGGGCCCCAGGAAAGGAATTTGTCTGGCTGATAGATGAGCTCGCCAAGTGGTAAATCTCGCTTGCGAGAGAATGTCTCACACCGATCCGTGCAGCGTCCACTCCGCCTTGTAGAGGATCTGACATCACTGACGCTGGCCCTAAAGGAATGCATAGTGAATATGTCAGCTCCTCCAGGTGGAGGAGGGCCGTGTGGTGGAGGGCGAGAGCAGCGGCTGTATCCTGACTGTATGCTGGTGGGAAATCGTGCGCCGATGAGAACGTGAAGGGCAGATTGGACCTCCATGTATGAAGCGCGAAGACAGTATTTGCCGTCCGGTCACGAAGTTCGGTCCATGCATTGTCGGGAAAATTGTTCGATCTCAATGTATCAAAGTCCTGAAGGAGGCCTGGGATATCTGACAGGATGTCGTAAAGCGCCAGATATCCTGTGCGTCCCATTTTCGAATCCCTCAGGACAGCCCTCCACGACGGTTTTGAGAGAAAGCAGTGGCGTCGACGCGCAGCAGCGCTGACAATCTATGCATCAACATGAGCAGAGACACATGTATGCACAGGCAGTTCGTACTCACGATCATGTACTGACAAGCTGAGAGAATATCTCTCTCAATGCCGCTTCTATGGCGACTTGGACCCCGACATTCAATCTGCCGCGGCTTAGTCCAGACTCAGATATAGTCAGTGTGGAATGGCATACCATATTCGAAACTGCCTCGTAATGGGTGAGCCAGGTCATCGAATACGTAGGGACAATATTCTCGTAGATGCATAAGCACAGAACGCTGATCAATGTTTCCATGCGCAGGCGGCTGTTGGGGTCTTCTAGTGCCTGGTGAAGCTTTCTTGATGCACGTGCATAGGCATCAACTCCTTTACAATAAGTTGCGTGATCACGGTTGGTGATGCCATAATAACCTGCTGTCAGGGCCTTCACACAAAGTTGCTGTGGAGACCTCTCTGGCATGAAGTCCGTGACTGTTTGAACCAGTATTCTCATCAAAGCGGAGCCGCTAACCTCGTCTGCAACGAATCGAGAAAGAAAATAGCTCTTCAGTATATCGTTCTCCTCTGGGAGTAAGCCATGAAGAGAGTATCTTTGATGCAGGACAATGTTGCATTGTCTGTGCTGGGATTGATCAGTTGGAGAAGCCTGTTCATGGCGTCTGCTCCATCGCTTGGTCTCATCGACAAACACGGGCGGATGATTGTAGCCTTCGCATTGAATGCCAGATGCCTTGCAGCGTGTACAGCTAGGGCGCTTCTCATCTTCGGTCCCTTTGTTAGTCTCAAGACGCATTTGAAGCAAAGCGTTTTCAAGGATACAATCACCTACCACACTTGACCTTTCGGCGCCGGCAGGTGATGCATCTCAGCGCCACCCTTCGTGAGCCGCGGACCATGATGAGGCAAGGAAGCACTTTGATTTTTGATCATTGAAGATGGGATAGTGCAAAGTGAAGTTGTGAGCTCAGTTGGAAATGGATGCTTAGCACCCATGGCCGGCACGTTATATATATAGCAGACGATGTCAGCCGCGTCCTTGGTCTGGATCGAAATGTGCACTGACGATGTACGATTGGACAAGCCTCTTCCTGGTCAGCCTTGTTCAATGTCGTACGAGAATCCCGAACAGGCAGTCGAGTGCGATAACAAAGCAGCCATGTACACCATGCCTCCTTCCAGGAAAAGCAAATATTCTCTCTCCCATCCAATGATCAGTATCACTGCCTACAAGCAGTAGATTTGGACGAACTTGTTACTATCGGCTGTCAGAATTGCACGGTATAAATCTCTCGGATCATGCTGTTGATCCATATCTTTGAAAGATGCTTGCTCGGATTTCTACTAATCTCTGGGATTATGAGATCTCTGCATTCTCACGACTATGGCGAATCGGAATGTGCCAACCAATAACGGGGCTGGCTTCGATGAGCCGTCTGATATATATCAACTTGTACCTCTCTCACGATTCGATGCAAATAGCTTCTTATCTGAAGAAGCACCGCCTCAATCTCTGACTCAATATGGCCGGATATCGACCGAGTCAAGCCACGGTGAAACTGTAGAGATGAGCCTGAGCACGTTCTGGAAAGCTGGACTCGGTCGTCCCAACCCAATGACTGTCATGCAGGTTTTCATCTATCGGTCCTGGGCAATTCTGGGGTGCCGTGATCCTCGCAAACTCCTGGCAGTTGGAGATCAGCATACTCTACCTCCTTTATAACACGCTCCTCACCCGCCTCTGCATAGCCGTCGAATGGAGTCATTACGGATCAGAGCGGAAACCCCTCCGTGTCTCCTGTCCAAAGGGCATGCAACGATCAACATACTTCCTATCGCTACCGTTTCGATATAGCGTCCCGCTCAGTGCATATCTTCTACTTCTCCATTGGCTTGTGTCGCAGAGCGTGTTCCTGGCTCGGTCAGCGGCATTCCTGCCCAGCGACGAGCCAATCGATTCGGACTCCTCATCGAGAGCTTGCTACTCCCCATGGGGATCATCTTCTCCCTGGCTACAGGGATGGTTCTTGTTGTTGCACTTGTCGGGATTGGGTTCCAGAGAACTACCTTTCTGCTCCCATCGGTCTCAGCATGTAGCGCTGCTATTAGTGCAGCATGCCACCAGCCGGAGGGAGACCGTGATGCTGCGTTGCTTCCTGTGAAGTGGGCGGTTGTCGTACCCTCCGGCCGGGGAAGCCCTCCGCCTGTTGTGGGACACTGTTCTCTTAAAACGCTCGTGAATGCGGAAGGGCCGGTTAAAGGGCGTTCCTATGAGTGACTGGATAGTGGTTTGCGTCAAGTTGGCCTGTCCGACCTACTATTGCTGGAAGGGTGTTCCGCTTATATACAGGATCTGTGTGGTTTATGAGTTCATCGACTACACTTTGCTGAAGATCGATAATAAAGCCCTCAGTTGTTCCACGTATCTACTTACAGACCCAGGAGTAAGCTGACTCTGAACAGATTATTTCATGTAGTTATAAAAGTTATGTATTCATCGCGTCTCAATATATATGACCGAACCTCCAATAGGCGTCCACATGTCCAAGTCAATAGCGTGAGCTTCTAGAACAACTTCATGGCGGCAGAAGATATCCAGAGAAGAGAGCTCCAGACACATAGCCTAGTCCACTTATCGGGTACTATGCAGAAGTGCAGGCACCGCCAGCGCAGTAGAGCTCATCCGAGCAATCGTCGTTGCTGGAGCAAGTGGCACCTTCAGGAAGAAAAGGTTAGAATGGAAGGCCATGCCATGTCAACAGAAATCTCGCTTACCCTCACAATGACCCTCCCAAGAGCACACCACTTCTCCATCAGTGGAGCAAACGCCATTTTTGCAAGCAAGCTGGTCAGAGCAGTCGTCGTTGGTGGAGCAGCTGGCACCTGAAGCATTGTTAGAGCGTCCTATAATAATCTCTTGAATCATGTATACCTTCGCAATGGCCTGCCCACGAGCAGGACTGAGCTACCGAGCAGACACCGCCGCTGCACACAAGATTATCAGAGCAGTCATCTGCAGTAGAGCAGGTTGCGCCTTTTCCAAGATTAGTAAAGTCCAGTGAAGTATCTTAGCACAATTCGATTGACGTACCCTCGCAATGACCGGCCCAAGAACAGGTTCCGGTCGACGTGGGCTGCGTAGCAGTCGTGGTCGTGGTTGGTGTTCCGCCAGAGCCGCCAGACAGTCCCAGGTTAGAAGCCAGGGCGTTGACGAGCTTGTCACCCATGGACCTGAGAGTGCTAAAGTTGGTGATGTAGTTCTCATTTAGGGCAGATGAGGGAAGCACAGATTCGTCGCCGGTGAACAGGATATCTAGAAAAGAAGCATCAGTTAGGGCTATTCACGTTGACAGGAGGAACAAAGGAGAGGGTTCTTCTTACAAGTAACGTCCGCCGCAGTATGGCCCTTGTTTCCATTCAGGCCCTCGTTCGGGAAGCAAGTTCTGGCCATCAGCCAGGAAGCCTCTCCGGTCACCTGGGGCTCATCTCCGTTGGCGTCACCGAGGATACCGTAGAACATCTTGCCATTGCTTCGTCTTGTTAGCTGGGATGGCCCATAATGAGAGGGAGGAACAGTCTGCTCACCAGATCACCGCAGCAATATTGTTTCCCTTCAGGGCATTGCCATTGTGGTCCAGGTACTTTTGAGGAATTACAATGAAGGGAACTTCATATGCAGCAAGAGCTCCCCAGTTTGTCGCATCCTGGCCATCTGGGTTTCCCTGGGATGTCTTAATTTCATGCTAATTGACTGTGAGTTATCATGACATACCTCGCACCCAGAGTCAATGCCATCACAGTCAACATCCATGTCGGCCACCCAGGAGATGGCCGCGCCCTATACTGCGTGTTAGCTCTGTCCTTCTGAAGAAAGTCAGGGATGCTCACCTGGCTGAAGGACGCCCAGTCACTGTGGATCGTGGACTTTTTGGCATTATCGTCCTGGCTCACGGGATACGTGGCGTACGAAGGGACTTTGGTTGCCTTTGCAGCTGCAGCTTGGAGAGCGGCAACGGGCATTGTGCTGGCCGCAGCAAAATAGCTTCCTGGAGGACCTCCATTGGGACTATCATAGTCTGAGCCATCAACGGTCTGGCCCAGAGCGACAGAGCTGAAGAGGGCAAAGGGCAGAGTAAGCCCGATGGCTGCTTTCTTGAAGACCATAGTGAATGAATGTCTAAAAGTACAACTTCTTTAGAATACACTGCTGCAGGAACAGGGCATGCGGCGCCATTTCTATAGTGCTGATCAGCCTGCGTTTCATTTCCCCTGCCTTGATCCTGTTTCACTCCGCTTCTGAGCCTTCTCCAGTCCGAGGATACATCGATACCCATGTGACCAGGCCACAGGCGATCGTAGTATATGGGCCAATATGACCGGGCCGGCTACTAGGTGATTTACATTACGCACAGCTGTCTCGATCCATCGTGCCCGCCACATCGACAGTTAGTCAAGTCCCCGCCAAGGTGACTAGTTTCACCGTGCGGCACCTTACTGGTGTCTCAGAGCGCTGTGGCGTCCAAGCTAAGCTTCGTTTAGGACCCTTTACGGGCCGTTTCTGCCATGCGGGGCGGCTGGATTCATTAGATTCATGTAGCGAGAGCGTCAAGCGAAGGGGTTGGGCTTGGTCTCTCCTGAAACAGCTCTTGTCAGATCGTTACCAAGAGGTCCGTGACCCTCCAGAAGGCGACGGTCCAATTGATATGACTATGTACTGGATTGGGAGGGATCACCAACTGTCATATTAGGGTTTTCTGCATTGCCCCCGTGCAGAACTGTGCAGAATGTCACCGGCATCAATATCCGATGCATTCTCCATGTCGGGCCATTCCGACTGCTGGGGCGGAGTGGTATGAGCTGTGGAATAGGGGCCAGACTATCCCCGAATCCTGTCGGCCAGGATTTCCTTCTTCTTGCCACCGTTAATGTTCCCAATATAAGCGACGTTACATTGCAGTTGATCCTCCTGGGGCGGTTTCGGTGGGTCGTGATCGTTCCTAAGGCTGCCATTTTCCGATTTTGTCATTTGCCTGGGCCACTTTCTGAGGCAGTTCTGGCAAGTTGAGGATGCGGACGAAATAGGTAAACAGAAGGAGAAACTAGAGGTAGAGGGAGGGAATGTTGCTTGGCAGGTGAACTTCGTTATAAGACCATATAACGCCCACGTGTTCTCTACTCTACTGGAAGTAAAATCACCATCACTTCCTTCTACACGAGCAGTCCGTCTAAAGGAGGCCCATAATGCGATTCTGCAAAGCACTCGGCCTTCTGGCCTCTCTCCAGCCGGCCATTGCAAGCTCCCTGATTGACTTCTCTGCAGCCCGGGGTGACAATCCGTCAATGCTTGGGACGAAGAATCTACAGGCAGATCGCGAGAACACTATCACCCCCGACCCGGCTGATCTGTTCATCAAGCTGGGGACCGATCCTCATGGGACTCCCGCATTGCATTTCCATCGCATCAAGGACTACATTCGTGCGGAATATCACACCCTTGTGAACAAAATCGAGGCCGATAAAACCTACTACATCGGATACAAGTTCAATCTAGGCGCCATTGAGAATGATCTGATGGTCTTTCAATTGTACGTATAGTGCACTCAAATTCCTGTCATTGTGCATGAGGCTAATGTCCTGTAAGCAAGGCGTACTCGGGGAACACCGCAGAGGGCGGGAATGCCAATATCCCCCTCTCCCTAGAATTCAAGCAAGGAATGCTGAACTTCCGCTACCAGAATGGGTACTCGGGCAAGCGCGAGACCCAGTGGTCTGCCACCCTTAAGACAGACACCGTCTACTCGTTCGGTATCGTGATCAACACGGGCAGCCCCGGCTGGGCTGAACTGTACTTCAACGGCGAGAAGCAAACCTTTGCAACGACAGGCACCACCCGGTTAGAAGCCAATACCTTCCTGGGCCGCAACGAGCCCAAGTTTGGCGCGTACCGTGGAGAGGCAATCGGCATCGACAATTATGTCTACAACATCCAGATTGGAACCGAGTTGAGTGACATTACCGAGGCCGCTGGCTTGGGAGGAACTGGGTCTACCTGTAGCTGGGAAGGTCACTGCGAAGGTATGGCGCTGTCAGCTCCATATGATTGCTTTATTATACTAATCGCACATGCAGGAGCTACTTGTTCCACCGCCGATGACTGCGCCGACGAACTAACTTGTGTCAATGGTGCTTGCTCTTCGGGTGGGTCGTCGCCTACGTGCTCCTGGGAAGGACACTGTGAAGGTATTCAGCATCGTCTTGATCATTTGGAGATAATGTTGATGAAATTATAGGTGCCACCTGCTCTACTCAAGATGACTGCTCTGATGACTTGACGTGTAAGGAAGGAGTCTGTACGTCCGGCTGCTCGTGGGCTGGTCACTGCGCCGGTGAGTCTGCAGCATTACATGAAAAATACCAAATATTGACAAGGGGATAGGTGCTTCATGTAGCTCTCATGATGATTGCTCCGATAATTTGGCTTGCATCAACGCAGTGTGCGCGGCAGAGTGAAAACCACAAAATGTGCTCCTTGGGGTCTGAGCAGCGCCACTGAAGCTGATCATAGTATATTGAAATAACTTTAATGTTCCACAACTTGTGATAGTGGACTATAGAGTTGTCGGGGGCATGGGGTTGGCGGGTAGGCGTAACATTGTACTACATCTTTAATATATCCCTGTTGCTGCACTTCAGGGGTATCCCAGACACATGTACAGGGTCTGGCTTCATATCCAAGAGAGCAGTACTCCTCTAACCACCAATGGTTAGGCCACCTTCCTGCCGCTGATCAGCAAGCCACAATGAGCGATTGGGATTCAATACTTAGGTTGCCCCGGGAAATGTGCCCAACCTTTCCGGATTATGACTCAGTGTGCTTCTTTTTGCGGCTGAAAGACTGCTTTCCAGCTGCATCAGGAGACAGGTCAGAAACTCAAAGGGACATTTGTGATGCTGCTGTGTTAGTCCATGAAAAAACCAACCTGGGCATGGATATTCAACCCCGGCACACGCCATGGTTTGTCCACTCTATCCTGTCTTCAATTCGATCTGACTTCCAATCAGTATAAGCCATCACTGTAGACCCCGCTTTCTCTCCCTACTAAAAATGCATGGTACAGCGCGCTCGTTCAGCTGCTTAGGTACCTTTTTTGCGATTCGTGTAACACAGGCCTTGGTGATCGCGGACTTACCATACCGTGTGCATTCAAGGGGCTCATGCACTAGCGTGTTTACTCAAGGGGCTCATGCTGCTAGATGGAATAAATAGTTCGATGATCCCAGTCTCACCCTCTTGCTACAAAGCACAATGAAGCGATACACCATGCGCGCCACTATTTGCACTCTTGCAGCCCTATGGGGAGCAACGGCGGCGTCCACTCTGCCGCCGAGGTCGTACTTCTTCCCAGCAGGACAGGTCAACGGGACATCGTCGTCAGATACTGAGGTGGGGCTGACAGCATTGGACGGGCCTCATATCACCGTTGCCAATGGCTCTGCCTACAGCGGGTGGTATTTTAATGCTGTCTCAGAAGACGCAACGGCCGCTGTCCTTGCGACATTCGCTCTGGGCTATTCTAAAGAAGCCCACGGTATACTTCTGACCATTGCCTTGCCCAATGGGACTACTTATGAGAACAACGTGCCTGCGGGTGCTTTACACATGCGAACCGTCGGCGATGGGTCTCGGGGCTATGTAGAAGGCGGAGGGATGAGCTGGTTCGCTGCACCTGATCTGAGTGCATATAATTTGATGCTCGACTTGCCCGCGGTTGGTATCTCGGGCAGCATCACGATGCGCTCTCGTGCACCGGCCCATGTCGCCTGTGGGCTCAACAGTCCGGGTGCATCTCTTCGATGGACTTCTACCTTGGGCTATTGTAATCCAGTGCCTGATGCCGACGTCTCTGCCACGCTTCTCATCAATGGTAGCCGTCTTTCGTTTCAGGGATCCGGATATCATGACCAGGTACGTAATTCCTCCGGTGGTTGGTGCGCATGATGCTAATGGTTCTCTGTTTGGCTAGCTTTGGGGTTTGACCCCCTTTGCGAACCATCTGACGCAGTTTTATTGGGGGCGCTCAAGCGGCGACAGATACTCTGTCGTGTTTGGATACCACATCGACGAGGCGTCCAATGTCGTCCCCTTTGCCTATATCTCTGAGTATGGAAAGGCCATAGTTTCTCGGTGTGGGATTGTTGAAGTCACTCCCCAGGGACCTGGCACCTCGGTGCCTTTGGAACCTGGCACTGATGTGGAAAGCTGGGCCGTTCGTATTCAGGACCCTGAACATGGCGAATTCGCATTCACCTTTTGGAGGGTCGCCACTATCAGTCTGGGAAAGTATACGTGGGACCGATGGCTGGTTCGCACTGTGGGAGGTCCTGTTGGAGGAATCAATGACACGGGGACAGGCATTGTTGAAGTGATGAGCGGGCCACGTCTGCTCCAGATGGGGCATCAACATGGGTGAAATGAGGATTAGAGCTGTGCATGAGGATGTATGATAATATAGAAAGTAGATAGTGCCCTGATCTACGAGTATTAACTTGCAGAGCCGTCTGGTTTGAACTCTTCTCTTTCATCACTCATGGTTGAAAGCATATGGTATATTGCCATATAGCTAGAGACTGCCTGCGCCACAATAAAGAGCCCCGCGTGAATTGGGCAGCCCAGATAATGTCCCAAGACGCCTGATCCAGCCAGCCACTTTTCTCTCGTCGGTTAGTTTCACCTATATAGCTGATTGCATCAAGTGCTTACATGTTGAACTGGGGGTGGAACTTCCATTTTCTTTCTCTTTACCGCAGTTGCCTTTCCACCAGGCCGGCTAGGTACTCCTAGGTTGTAAAATGGATACTCCTGCTCTATGCGAACAATGTGCCAGCCAAGATATCATTTCGGAACATCTATGGAGAAAGCTTCCGCCAGATCAAGAACAATCAGCTTTTACGGCCATGATGGATCTCTTTAATCAGGGTGTCGGTGAGTTACTCGCCAAGACCCAGTATGAAAGCTCCCTAGACTAACCTGGTGTCCCCCAATGCGCAGAAATATCAGTGGACAATGTTGACGAGATATGCGCTCGTGAGGGTATCCCAGCTCAGCTTTGTGAAGGGATGAGGTGTATTCTAGCAAGCTTTTCGGTAAAGCTAACCAAAGCCACTATTGAAGAGCTGAAAGAACGGCAGGGCTGCCCACTCTGCCGTATAAAATTGTTTGCGTTGACAGGTCCTTCTGAACGGAGAAGAGGAGGTCCCAGGGAGGCACTATGGAACAAGGAGAGGAGAGGGTTTATCCTCGGCTCGCTGGGTACTCGTGTGGTCTTTCTCGAAGACAGCCCTGGGAGTCCATGGATCACCCGTGCTGGTATAACCATTGAAAAGGGCCAGATCGATATCGCTTTGATCGCGGAGTGGCTACACAGCTGTGAAACGGTGCACGGCAGCGAGTGCGCACCGCAGCCTCTGAGCATCGGCTGTTCCCCCTCCGCAGGCCCAAGCCTCAAGACCTTTCGGTTGCTTGATGTTATCAATGGCTGTATGGTGGAGACGCCCATTCATCGTGATTACTTTGCGCTGAGTTATGTCTGGGGCGGAGTTGAGCAGGTTCGCCTGACAAAGGGAAACAAGGATCTGCTAATGAGACCGGGAGCCCTAGCTGGATTGGCTTCGCAACTCCCAAAAACCATTAGAGATGCGATAGACCTGGTGCGTCTGCTGGGGAAGCAGTACCTATGGGTCGACTGTCTATGTCTGGTCCAGGATGATGATGAAGACCTCGCCGACAGTATTGGCTATATGGACCTGGTGTACAGAGGAGCCACGGCCACAATCATCGCTGCAAGTGGACAGAATGCAGATTCTGGATTGCCGGGAGTTCATCCGAACTCTCGTCACGCAGTCCAAGTCATTGAAGAGATCGCCCCTGGCGTGCGCATGACGGTCCTCAGAGAGCCCGACGAGTTTCTAAACATCTCCAAGTACTCTACTCGAGGTTGGACGTGAGTCTAGACCCAGGTCATACATTCATAGACTCTTTCTGATCCATAAAAGCTACCAGGAACATATTCTTTCGACCCGCAGTGTCATATTTTTCGACCATCGGGTTTACTTCCGCTGCCGTTGATGTGTGTGGTGTGAAGACAACAATCACTACAAATCTCCTGGAGAAGGGAATCGAAGCACACCATGGGGGAGCTTGATCTCCATGGCCTTGGATCCAGAGGAGACTGCCATCGTCGCTTACCACCTCCTATTATTCTATTACTCTCAACGGGAGCTCTCTGTGGGCGGCGATGCTATTAATGCCTTTGCTGGCATGTTGCGATTCCTCAGCGATCGACTCCACACGAGCATTCTCGAAGGACTGTTAACATCGACTTTTGACATCAGCATTCTGTACTATGGCTCTGGTCTTAAACGGCGCTCAGAATTCCCTAGTTATTCATGGGCTGGCTGGTCGGGAGCCGTAGACTGGCCACAATGGAACTTTGATCCAAAGTTTCAGAGTACGGAGTCGATATTTGCAACTGAGTGGCTTGATACACGAACATGGATTGTGTGGTCAGCGATGACTCCGGATGAAGCCCTGCAGCTACTGGATATCGGGCTGAAATCTGCCGCTGCAACCAATGAGAATTATGTCGGCTATCGCAATCGCTGTCATCCACTACTCACACGGGGCAATGTGCCAAATCCGGGTATGCAGCAGACGACGAACAAGGCCAGGCAGTATACACTCCTGCGGTTCTCATCAACATCTATCAGACTTCTCGTCTCGTCGTCTTTGGAGCGCGATATCCGCAGGCTCCCGATCGTTGATACTTTTCTGCTGGCTGACCGAAGGGGCGACACCTGCGGCTATGTGATTCCAAACAACGCAAATCTTGTGCGGATCGGCAAGGAAGTTGAGGTTATACTCCTTTCAGAGTGTACTGAATCGCTATGGCAGTCCGTACGAGAGGATGCTCATCTAGAGGCCTCTGGTGACTACCCTTTCTACTGGGTAATGGTCATAGCCTGGGATGGAGACATCGCTGAAAGGTGTGGAATTGGCATTGTGCGGAAAGGTGCAGAGCAGTGGTCATACTCTCCGGGGCCAGTATGGAAAGAGATACTGCTGGGATAGTTTCTGATGGACTTGATGTGGTGATGAAGAATGTACTTCGTATAGTTGAAGCTATATATAGTGGCGGGCGCTAAACGCGTTCCGCCCCCGCAACGAGTGGCGGCACATCCGCAGTTTCCATAGCGACCTCGTCGCATGTTTGACCTCGTTATCTTCTCCCCCATCTTCCTCCTCCATGACGCCTGTCAGGATGTCTTTTTCCTGCTAGACATCTCCTGCAAACATGGCATCTCCCCAGAAAACCCCCGACCCCAAGCCGTCCCCGCGAACATATGTTCCGCTGAAGGGGTTCTTTAACAATGGGGTCTGGTACTGCAACTGCACCAAACGGCTTCCAGCCGCCAAGCTGGAGTCCAGAAATCATGCCCAAAGTCACGGAAAATGGTGTAAGGACCCTCATCGATATAAGCCATCAGTACGACACTAACGACCCAGTCTACACATGCCAACTGCCCCCGCACCAAAAGTGCAACTTCTTCCTCTGGGCGAGCGATGCCGAGATCCGCGAGAAGCAGACCGTTCTCTCCAACTCTACCTCCGAGTCCATGACAGGACCGCAAACACCATCAAAGCCGTCGCGGAATGTCGGGACGGGCCTCCTCACTCCCCAAACCGACCGTCCGTTCCGGAACGGCCCCGCTGCGAAGCTCGAGACGGGCCCGAAGAGCGCCAAGGCACGCATGATGTCCGAGGATACGGATGAGTTTGGCTGGGATGATTCCGTCGCCGACGACGATTTTGAAAAGCTACTCAGTCAGCCGCCTCGTCAGCCGGATTTCGGACGGGCGCCCCCCGCCACCCCCAGCTTCGGCTCGTCGGACTTTACGTATAGCCCGCGGAAGACACCGCGCACGGACAGCTTTACGACGCCTGGAAAGCGCAAGTTCGCAGGCATGGAGCGTGAGAGCTTTATGACTCCCACGTCGATCTTCTCATCGCAGACCCAAAGCCAGTCGTTTTCGCCGTCGTCAGTGGATATCTCGTCGACGCCGACGCCTAGCAAGTATCGGAATGCGTTGTCGGCGAATTCGGGAGCCGATACGTCGGATCTTGCACAGCAGGCGATGAAGATCCTGGAGGGTCATGGGACGGTTGTGCCGCGGCGCGCGATGGAGGAGTTGGTGTCGTTGCTGAACAGGCATGATTTGAAGATGAAGGGTATTACCCGGGGCCGCGATATCTCGCGTGCCGCGGTGAAGAAGAAGGAGAATGAGATCTCCATTCTGAATGAGAGGATTGCGACTTTGGAGGCGCAGCTGGAGATGGGTCGGACTGTGCTCAGTGGACTGAGGGAGTGAAGGTCCGATTGTCTGATGCCGATATGATATGATATGATACCCAAGCTGGTCTGTAAGTATGCGCTGTTTTCTTTGTGTTTGATGTTATTTTCGGGGCAAATTGTTCATATTGAGCTGGGTCTTTTATGAAATATGTCGTTTATAGTGTACCTAAAGAGTTTCGGGCCGATGCATCAAATCGGGGACTTGATGTTCCCATAGTCTGTCTTGTATACTCCGTAGATCTTATCTAGATCGATGTCACGTGGTGATAATCGCGACCCAATCCATCAAAAAAAGTTCCCAAAATTCACCACCGACACCAGAACCACCAGAACTGCAACGCATGCAAATGACGACGAACTCTCGAATTCGCCCTATCCTCCACTCATAACTCAATAAAAACCATCCAGACCTCGTCCATGGACCTCAGCGCCGACTCGACCAAACCGCTGGACAGCGACATCCCCACAATGTTCCGACCCCCAGTGAACCGCGCAATGCGGGTCCTGGACCGCTCGTTCTTCAAGAAGACGGTGCCTCTGTCGGCCGCGACAATTTTCAAAAACTCGGATATCTCGAGGGTGCGTGGGGAGCTGCAAAAGAGTCGCGATCTGCTGAACCTGCCACGGTTGAGCTCCATCCGGGAGGTGAAGACCGAGGATGCCGTGCGGAAATGTCTGCTCTTGCGGGAGGGAGTGAAGTATGATGGTAGGTTTTGCTCGGCCTGCGTACTGCTTGACATCACTGACCATGATAGACGCTACGACTTGGTCGCCGACGATCAATGAGCTCGTGGAAAAGGGCACCGTTGGGCTGGGACGATACGACTTGACGCTGGAATACGATTACTGGACTTATGGTAGGCGGGACACGATGCGTCTACGGGCTGCAGGCTAATGGTATGACAGCTGATATTATCTCGTCGATCCTCCCGGAGGACTTGCTCGACGAGGTCCCGCAGGGATTTACGCAAGTTGGCCATGTTGGTACGTTTACCTCTGGGGGTCCATGAATGCCGCTGACGAAAACAGCCCACCTCAACCTCCGCGAACAATACCTCCCTTGGAAGACCCTCATAGCCAAGCTCCTGCTCGACAAGAACCCGCAGATCCGCACCGTCATCCGCAAGACGGAGGACGTCGGCACCAAGAGCGAATTCCGCACGTTCCCTCTGGAGGTGATCGCCGGAGACCCGGATCTGAACGTCATCCAGCACGAACAGGACTGCGAATTCCGCTTCGACTTCTCCCGCGTATACTGGAACAGCCGTCTGGAGACCGAGCACCGCCGCCTCGTCAATAAGTTCCGCTCCGGCGAGATGGTCTGCGATGTTATGGCGGGCGTGGGCCCGTTTGCCGTGCCCGCCGGCAAGAAGAAGATCTTCGTGTGGGCGAACGACCTCAACCCGCACGGATACGAGGTGATGGAGGACGCCGTCAAGCGGAACAAGGTGCAGCAGTTCGTGACGCCGTTCAACAAGGACGGACGCGAGTTCATCCGCTGGTCCGCCCAGTCCCTGCTGGAATCCGACCCTGTGACTGTGACCATCGCGCCGCGCGTCCGACGAAGCGCCAACAAGGACAACCAGCCGCCTCCCCCACCCCCGGAGGTCTACCACCGTCCGCAGGTCTTCGACCACTACGTCATGAATCTGCCTGCGACGGCGATCGAGTTCCTGGATGCGTTCCCTGGGCTCTACACCGGGAAGGAGTCGCTCTTTGCGCCGCACACGACGCAGGCGCTCCCGATGGTGCATGTGTATTGCTTCTCGGGCCACTCGGCGGACGAGCACGATGACCATGTCGATATCTGCCAGCGCATCTCCGAGCGCATCGGATATACGATCACGACAGACGACTGCGTTGGCGGCAGTGGGAAGCAGGAACTCGAGCTGGCCATCCACAATGTGCGCCTGGTCAGCCCCAACAAGCAGATGTTCTGTGCTAGTTTCCGTCTTCCCAAGGAGGTAGCTTTTAAGCAGGTTTGATCGTGTCTGGTCGGCGCATAGCATGGAGTTTGGCTATGGATATATCGGTTATCATATAATTAGAACGTACATACAATCGGAATAGATACCCATTCCTCTCGTCTCAATTGGGGAAATGCATCAAAATACTGTAGTCCCCGTCCTCCGTTGGTACGAAGGCGGTAGGCGGGTCACCGCCCCAAACTGCCGGAACAAAACTCCACCGTGCAACAACATCCTCATCAACCCACCTCCATTCTCTTAATCCAACAACCACCGCGCCACCGGCATCTCCTTACATCACCCTCGCTACGTCTAAGTATCCTACGACACGATGAGCGTCCAACTTCCCCCGGCGACACACCGCAAGCGCGCCCTGCCCCAGGGCGAGCTGGAAGCGGCCTCGACCCTCAAACTCGGCGCGGACCAGAACACGCACACGCTGTCGCTGTCCGAAGCGCGGCTGGTCATCAACAAAGTGCTCGAGAACAAGCGCCGCGGCGGCAAGAAATACGAGGAGCCTGAGTGAGTCGCCTGTGGAGACCCGACAGCGCACCCCCGCTTACATAGTCATCTCGCGCACAGGAACCTCACCAAAACGCTCGACTACCTGGAGGTGTTTGCGCGGTTCAAGGACGAGGAGAACATCAAGGCCGTGGAGCGGCTGCTGAACGCGCACACGGAGCTGGAGATGTTTGAGCGGTCGCAGCTGGGTAGGTGGTCTTTTCGCGGTTGAGGGCCATTGCTGACGGGTTGTGCAGGCAGTCTGTGCTGTGATAATGCGGAGGAGGCGAAATCGCTGATTCCGAGCTTGCAGCATAAGATCTCGGACGGGGATCTGCAGGAGCTGCTGGATGAGTTGACCAAGTTGCGGAATTTTACGGAGTGAAGGGGGGACGGTGCAGGTGCATGGGGTGTTTGGGATTTTTGAATTTTTTTCGCTGTATCGGTAGCATGGAGTTTTGGTGTTTGCATTGGATATACATATGATATGGGCTGTTGTGTATGGAGTCGTTGATTTCCCGATGTGTCGGTGTAGGGAGAGCAGGATAAGGTCATCGATAAGCGTGCATGAGGTCACCTGATCTATGCATAACTCTAGTACCTAGGTAGGACGGAGTACTCTTACAGATCATCTCAGTTGATCAGTACATGTGACAGGTACCAGGCTTGAAAATGCCTCAATGCTGGAGGTGGTACAGCAGCTGTCAACCTGCATGGCTGAGGGATATAGCTGCGACATGATGATGTGAGGGATTTGCTAATGGGAGTGGTTGTATAGCTAGTCATTGGATGATCTGGGAAGGGATGAGGTGGTGTGCACGAATGCATGTGCATGCGATCTGTAGATGACCGCTATTAAGTAATAAGATTACCTCGGGCATGTGAAGCCGATGTCTGCAGAGTCTATGTACAAGAGTCTACAGTCTACCATGGCTTACGACGCCCCGACAAAGAAAGACCAAAATTGAGCCTATGTTCAGATGACAAGATGTCATGAATCATGAGCAGCAGTCCGGAGGAGACTTCTCCAGACGGAGTAAGAATTAGGTAAGTGGGAGCTTGGAGGAGCTCTCGGACGAATAAATGCTGCCAGTGACGATGCAGGGCTCGGAAGCGGTGGGCTGATGCCCAAGCCGTGGTGCCCAATAAGAGAGGACGGATTTACTGCAGTGGCCAATTCGGGAGACGCTAGGCCAGATGGGGCCTAGGCGGCTGTGGGGAAATCCCGGCTGCAGGGGCTGATCCCCGTTGCCGGCGAACGCTAGGCCGGATTGGGCAGAATAGAAGCAGTGTGATTGGCCGATAGTGGTGTTATCGCTGAACGCTGATTGGAGGATAGATAACGGCGGCTGAAAATTGATGAATTCCGGGATTGTGCAGGAGAATAAATTGGAATATCTGTGAGGTAGTGAGCCTGATGAGATCCTTTCCTTCAATTATGAGAATGATGAGGACTCGGTATGCCCTTACTCCTAATTAGATACCTATCTCTCGGCAGAATACTTCCCTACCTCCTCCGTAGGTAGATGAAAGAGGATTTACAGTACGTAATCCCAAGCCCAAGCCGGCAAAACCGCCACAAGGGCCCAATCAGCTGGGCCAGGCTTATCGACGGGCGGCAGGAACCAGCGCGGCGGACGAACCGGACGGCCAACGGCAGGCTTTCTGTTACGTGTGGGAAATGGAGAGGGTCCGGAGAATCACTGTCGCCTCCGATGGTTTCTCTTATTGATCCTGATGACTGATTGAATAGCATGCCAGCCAGGAGCATTCCATTACCTGATCGTTTGGAGATACGCTTCATATATGTAATGACGTGATCCTCTTTTGAATCTGATCGGATCTGATCTTTCATTCATTTGATCTATTCAGATTCTTTTCGATTCCTGGGGCTGTGGCTATAGTATAGTCCAGGAGCTATACTATACCCAAACCGATATACTACTTACGACCCTAGTACTCACAGAGTACTCCTCTGTACATAGCTGCCCAAGTACTATCGGTACATAGGAACTATCGGACTGAATCTATCGGCCCAGCATCTTCTGATTATCGGTCGAATCAGCGTCTCTGTTTATCAACCCGCCCCATTGAGTCCTATCAGGGCTCGTGTGTTGATATCCGACAGTCATCATCATATCTCCGGTTCCGCTCTACACCACCACCACCACCACCACCACCACCGCGTCTCCTCCTCTACTCCCTACTCATCACTAGGTCTCTTCATGATAAGCATTCTCACGGTACGACTCGTGCTGTCGATCTGCCCCATCCCATCACGTATAGATTCACTGCAGACCCATATGCTCCGTCCAGTTCACCGACTGCCACTCCACAGTCCAATGATCGCCAGATAATACTCATCTAGGGGACTAGGTCTGCAGCCTCTCTAACACTGCCCTCTCCGACCCTCCCGAATCGTCTTACGTACCGGACTCGACATTGGGTCTGTGCCCTATCACTATCTCGACCCTGGTCGCCTTTCATCCTTCCTATCTCTTCTTACTCCCGGTTATCTTTCGTTCTATCCTCCCTCCTCTGAGGTGGTCCGTCCTGAATGGCTGCCGTTATCACTCTGCAGTCGTCCTCGACGACCGGCACCACCACTCCTGCTGCCTCTTTTCAACAATCTCCATCATCAGACCACCAACTCCTGCGATCTCGGGTCCAACCTCCATCGCAGCAAGCTCAATCCGCGCCAACCGCACCGCCACTCTCGCCCTCCGCCTCCATTGGTGCCCTACCGCGTGTGCTTCCCGTGCCTGGTCGGGATGGGTCCAGTTGTGACGCCTGTCTCCGCCGAAAAAGCCGCTGTGCCATGAACGAAATGGTCAAGAAATGTTATTCGTGCGACTTCCATCGCCAGGAGTGCACCTTTACCCTCTCCGTGACCACCCGTCCCAATCCCACCGACACGCCATCCAAGAAGCGCAAGTTGAATGATACCAGCGCTGACGAGGTCGACTCGTCCAAACGGTATGTACTATACGACTTCCCACTTTTTTTTAAAGTGGGCATCCAATCGCCGATCTCGGACGTCAGTCTATAGATATGCAATGGGACCGCTAACCTTGGCCCGCAACTAGACAAGCAACCGCCCCTTCAGCATCCAACCCGGATGTCTCTCCCTCCTCACTGAATCCTCTTCCCCGCATCACCTCCAGGTACTGGCATCAACAGACCCAGCATATCGGCTTCACCACCGAATTGGAACCCGCCCTGCTGGAATTCCTCCCCTTGGATCAGAACCACGAGGGCTCCGTCGCCTCCTCGCGCGTCCGCAAGTTCGCTGACGACGGGACCTTCATGCGCGTGGTCAACAAGGTCTCCAACGCGGACTCGCCGCAACCCGCCTCGCTGGATGCCATTGAGAGCCTGGTCGCCCCGTATGGCTCCACCCTGGTCGACAAGTTCTTCGAGCATGTCCACCCGACCTTCCCCATCCTCATGGAGGACACCTTTCGCCAGTCGTACCGCGCTCGACAGGGCCTCTCGCCGCTGCTGCTGGCCTCAGTGTACGTCCTGACCCTGAAGTTCGTCGACATCGGCCCGGCCAGTCAGTCGGCTCGACGCCCGGATGCCAGCCGTCTCGAGAGCACCACGCTGCGCCTGCTGTCCGAGTCTCTCCCTTATGCCTCCATCTCCACCATCCAGGCCGGTTTGCTACTGATGCAGAAATCCACCTTGGCGACGGCAGCGTTGAACGCTCAGCTCGTCACCGCCGGCTTCGAGTTGGGCCTTCACCAGGACTGCTCGGAATGGCGGATGGATACGTGGGAGAAGGGTCTCCGGAAACGCCTGGCGTGGGCCCTCTACATGCAGGACAAATGGACCGCCCTGGTGCACGGTCGCCCGTCACACATCGTCTCCTCCAACTGGACGGTTCAAGACCTGGTGGAGCAGGATTTCGTCGATGCCTTTCCATCTGCCCCCTCCGAGGATGCTGTCGGCCACGGGCCCCTCTTCTTTTGCCACATGGTCGCGCTGACCACCATCCTCTCCGACATCCTGGACCGATTCTACACGCTGCAGGCGATCAACGAGTTCAAGGCGGCGGGCCATAACCGCACGCGGCTGATTCTGGAACGCGCCAAGCCGGCGCAGATCCGCCTGAAAGAATGGTTCGGCCGGCTCCCGCCACAGCTCAAGATGGATTCCGGCGGCGAGCTCTTCGAGACCATCACCGAAGACAACGCCCGCAACGGGCCCATCCATCTCTTCTACTTCGCCACGGAGATCACCCTGCACCGATGCATCGTGCGGTCTCTGTCCCCCGACACTGCCGACGCCTACCTTTCGCACATCTGCCGGTCCGCCGCGAAGACACGCCTCATATCCGCCATGGACTTTGTCAACCGCCTGCGGGTGCCGCATCTGCGGTCGTTCTGGCCGGCGGCATCGCGCACCAACTTCGCGCTCATCGGCACGTTCGGCGTGCTCCTTCGCGTCACCGCCCCGACCAAGGAAGAAGCCGAATTCTATCGCCTCCGACTCTGCGAGTACCGCTGGACGCTGAGCGTCAGCATGAAGAACGCCGAGTTCCTAGGCTTTGCCCTCGAGTCGCTCGACAACGCCACCAACCTCGACTACCACGTCCCGGAGAAACCGGGCATCGACGAGCTGATGACCAGCTCCGCCAAGCCGACCACCACGACGCACCCGCGCGTCACCGCCGGCGCGGAGGACTCGATCCTGGAAATTGAGCCGCAGGATGTCGCGGGCGGGACCTCGTCGGTCATTTCGGGATTGGCGTCTCCGGCCACGTCGATTAGCGAGGAGAGCATGCAAGATGCCTCCATTCCTCTCTGATTTTTCTCTCTGAGTTTCTATGCTCCCCACGTTACATATCTCCTGATGCCTTTGATGACTGTTTTTTACTGGCGCATTGAGGGGCTCGATACCTGTTTTTGTGATTGTGATGATTGTTTGGATACGATTGATTCCCCGGACGGATGGATGAATAATGTTTTACTGTTCGATAGCATGTACATATGGGATTATGACGCGTACATAGACGGCCGGCGAATGATAGACTACCTTACCATCTCAGCAGTCCTCCGTAGAGTTCGAACGAAGATTGAGTATTAACATTCTAGCATTGTCTTTGGATGACCTTACCAAAGTAATCCTCCTGCCCCGGGGGATCCTTCTGGATCCCTCAAGCCAATCCCCCAGTCCAATAAAAGAAGGGCATCGTTCGATACCAGTCCACGGGAGGCCTAGCAGTGAATGGCAGGCAGAAATCCACCAACAGCCCCCAGAATCGCTTAGCAACATGGCGTCGATTCGACTGTTCTTGTATTCCATATTTATCAGCTCGCTGGGCCATCCCACTCTCGGCTGATGCACAACATATCTCCATATAGGGAGAGCATTCCCCGCAGCCCCGGATTGTCATGGTATCTACCTCGGAGAAAGGAGGAAGAGATGTTGGAGCGGTTGTCGGAAGAGTATACATCCGTCGGATGTAGATCACTCAGTTTGCGGGACCAAAGTCAACGACTGTCGTATGTAGTCTCTTTCCCGACGGACCAATATGTCTGTATGATGTCTCCATAAGATGGAGACCAAGCCTCGTGGGTCTCCAGTTCTCTGCATACTTGGATGATCTCGTTGTTGCATTTACTATCATTTCGGTTGCTGGCGGAGTTGCATACAGGCTCTATGGATCTATATTGGTGCACCACGTCCCAGCATCCCGTAATGATAGGTTGTAGAATTGATGACACCAACTAAGTCTCTAAGCACCTGGGAACCATCCAGGGAATAGGTAGTCTCCGTACACCCCAGACTCCAGACCGCAAGGAGCAGACGATACACGGCATCTGCTGCGGCGATCGAGGCGGTTAAGCCGGGATCGGTGGAGCCAAGACAGTACAGAGGACAGAGTAGGTAGTTAGTTTCATCTTTCAACCTCCACCCACCATCCCCACGCCTCTCGATCAGACCATCCGGAGTACCTAGATACCCATTCTCTTATTCTTCTGGATGGAGCGCGGAAACAAGCCGGTGACGGCCACCCTGCGCGCCGCTCGTCGCCGCCCTCCACGCGCCTCACGGGCCTGCGAGACTTGCCGCGCGCGCAAAACCAAGGTGTCGTATCTCCTTGCATACAGTATGTCGACGTCGCTGATCGGTCATAGTGTGACCAAGCGCAGCCTTGCTCGTACTGTGCTTGTAAGTATCTCTTGGGACATGTAAACATAGGTCCTCCGTCAGCTAACGACTCAGACCATTGCCTCGACTGTTTCTATAGAGGAGTCCCCAGCGAGAACTCCTTGAGAGCTGCCAGAAAATCCCAAACCAGAGAGACTCAACGGTGAGACTTGCCTTGGTCTGAAAATGGTTCTCGGCTGATTTGGCGCAGCGTGAATACTCGGCCTTCGCCATGGCCGGATGCCACAGCAGACGGACTACATGCCCACTCGCCGGTTGTTTCGGATGCTAGATCCGATATTGCGGCAGCAACCGGTAGTCCGCTGTCTACTATACACGCGTCCAGCGTCGACTAACATTTTACAGCACAAACTCCCGAGCTTTGTGATTCTGCTTCCAGAGAAGGCTTGAGTGGCGTCAATATCCACACCAATGGCACGGAATTCTACGGGACTTCATCCAATCTCGCTTTCCTCGGGAGCCTGTATGCCCGCGCTCGCGGTCAGGCCGAGAATAGAAACCCGACCGTTCCAGACAATATCTCTGGTCTGGCTCCCACTGGAGGCGCAAGCCTGATGCTGGCATCGGCACCGTCTGAAAAGGATCTATTGCAATCACCTCACTCTACAAGCGATCGAAATGATGCTCCCAAAGCGGCTTCCAAAGCGCAGCTATCTATCGTCAACCTCCTATACAATCCCACATACGCCAGCCATTCTCCGCCTCGAGTCCATGGGAGGTCTGATAATGACAACCAAAAGGGCCCTCGTCAGAACGACGGCCGGAGCTTCGTGAGTAAGTTGCCTTCAACACGTAGGCCATCACTTCCATCGCGGACTTAACGTCACGAACAGGCACCGATGATGCAATGATCTCGCTTGTCCAAGGGCTCTCCGAAGAAGCCCAACTGGAAATCGAAAAGATGTTCATCAGCAGCTACTTCTCCAACAAGCATTACATCCACCCCATGATCAGCAAGTCGTCTTTCATGCAGCGCTGTGAACAAGAAGCATTCGTGTTTGCCAACCGGCCCGCGTTCTGCCAGGGCTCGTCCAAATTTGCCGGCCTATATTTTGCGGTCGTTGCGCTGGGCGCGATCAACGCGAGTCCCAACGAGACCGCCCTGTTGGACCATTACTGCAGTCTTTCATCTGATCCGGGGAAACGAGGTCTTGCAGACAAGCCCTCGGCTTTGGACTTTGCGGATTTTTTCTTCGGAATTGCGAAACAAGCGCTTGGGGATCTGTTCGAGAGCTCTTCTCTAGAAAGTGCACAGACGCTACTGCTTTTGGTGCGTTCCTGACTGACTTACAGGGCTTGCATTGTACTGACCCACGTCTAGAGTGTGTTCTGTCAGAACGCTTTGCGTCCGCATAGTTGCTTCATGTACAGCGGGATGGCTGTGAGAACGGCAGTGGCAATCGGCTTGGCCTCTGGTATGTCATCGCTGCCTCTGAACACGCGAAAAGAGGCTAGACGAACCTGGTGGTAGGTGTCGAACCCTCTTTGTAGGCGTATCTTTGCTAAATTGGGTTTTGTAGGTGCATATATTCTCATGAAATGTAAGTCTTTTACATTGATAATGACTCGTTGCTGACCATCTGTAAGCGAAATGTGCTGTTCATCCGGGCGTCTAGACAGCATGAAAGACCTCCAATACTATCAAGTCTCACCACCGAAGTTAAAGGTATTAAGCTCAGTTCGGCCTTGTCATCTCCTGCTCATGAGTTTCAGTCCACCCCCGGGAACCAACTCGATCCGGACGCAGAGGACGATGACATCGCCATGATCCCAGCCATGGTGGCTTTGGCCCAGATCATGTCCGAAGCCTCTCATCTGCTCTACCACTCGCCGAAACGATCCATCAGCGAGAGGTCACGGATCGCCATGGCCCTTGACAGGAAACTGTTCGACTGGAAGTCCAATCTACCGAAATGCTTGAATATTGACGCGGCATCTCTGAACGATACAGAATGGGCATTCAAACAGAAGTTGGTCCTAAGACTACGTGAGTCTGTCTTCCATCATATAAACCGCCATTTCTAATCCATCTTGCAGGGTTCTACAACACATTCATCCTTATACATCGTCCATTTCTCGCGGTCTCCACATCTAATGCTGAAACCCCTAATACACTTCAGCACGTTTACAAGTGTCTGGACGCTGCAAGGACGAGCATACGGATGCAGTACGAATCGTTTCTCCATCGGATATACATCCGAACCTGGTACACCATTCATCCACCCCGTCCACTATCATCACAACACTAATAAAGGAAGGTGGTACAATACTACATACGCCCTCTACGGCGCAATGATCCTGCTCCATCTGGTCCTCTCCGGCGTCCCCGGGATCAACGACGACGAGCTCCTGATGGACGTCGACAAAAGCCTGGATATTTTTGAGTCGATGAACAACATCGTCGTCGCGCGGCGATGTGCTGAGATGATCCGGGAGGTGTTGGAAGTTGCCCGCACCTGTGTTGCGAGACGCAGGGCCCTCTCCCCATCGGCTGCCGCTCCATATGTCTCTAACGCAAATGCGTATGGCCTGCCCTCGGATACTTCTGCTACGATGGGTACTCGAGAGAATGTGGTTGATAATGACTTCTTCCTGTCGCTCTTCAACCAGGACGCTCAGCCTCATACCCGGGCTGAAATCCTAGCGAACCTGGTGGATCCGACGATATTGGAGGATTTTGCTTTTGGAAATGCAGGGAGTGATTTCTCGTACTTTTTTGGATCATGAAGTCTTTCCGAAGAAGTTATAAAGAAGAGAATGGCTGCTCCTTCGTACCCTGCATATGAAGCAATCGGTTGGCCCCGTATTCAGCGTTCTCCATTAGGATCTGCGATGCTATCTGACCGCTAAAGCATTCATGCACTCTATAGAACGAGGTACACGAATCTATCCGTCGTGATCCAAGCTCAGTCAACCAACAACATACAGACCTCAGATGCCATCCCCGCAATTCCCTGGTTTCCGAGCTCTCCGACTCCGAATATTACCTAACTGTTTACCACGTCCCGAAACAGACCTGCAACCACCAAACGGATGTTATCCGTGATCCGTCGGATAGGGTCCGCGAACGGAAAGCCACGGCAATGACGATACATGCTGTGCTTATCAGGAGATAGCAGTGCAGGTCGTATCGGGCGGAAGGTTGTATATAGTGCCTGGCAGTCCTACGTTACTTCTATCCAACTCGTTTCTACTTGTCGATATTCCCATCTTTAGTCCCTTATCATTCTCCACACGCTTACGCAATGGACTGGGACCAAGACGCTCTGAGAGCCCAATTCTGCCATGCGCTCTCGGAAATGTACAAGAGCGAGGTGCCCCTGTACGGGGACCTCGTCGACCTCGTCTGGAAGGCCGACGCCGCGGCCGTGCGAGCAAGCCAGCAGCTCGGCGGCTCCCATGTCATCGACCCGGACGAGGTTCTCCCTCCTCGCAACCGCGTCGAGCGACACGGCGCCATCCGCCTGGGCACGGCACACGAGCTGGCCACCATCCGGCGCATGTTCGCCGTGATGGGCATGTTCCCCGTCGGATACTACGACCTGACGATGGCCGGGTTCCCGATGCATGCCACGGCCTTCCGACCCCAAGACCGCGACGCGCTCGCAAAGCATCCGTTCCGCGTGTTCACGACGGTCCTGCGCATGGAGCTCCTCACAGAGAGAACGCGCGCGCTGGCGCAGAAGGCCCTGGGCCAGCGCAACATCTTCACTCCCCGGCTGATGGCGCTCATCGACCGCGCCGAGACACAGGGCCACCTCAACCCCGAGCAGGCGCAGGAGTTCATCAGGGAGGGTTTGGAGACGTTCCGCTGGCATTCCAAGGCCACCGTCACCTGGGACGAATACCAGCTGCTCAAGGAAGAGCACCCCCTGATAGCCGATATCGTGTCCTTCCCCAGCTGCCACATCAACCACCTGACGCCTCGCACGATCGACATCGACCTCGTCCAGAAGATGATGCAGGACCATGACATGCCGGCCAAGGAGCGTATTGAGGGGCCCCCGAAACGCGTCTGTCCCATCCTGCTGCGGCAGACGAGTTTCAAGGCCCTCGAGGAGACGGTCTACTTCCGCGATGCGCGAGGTGCGTTCGTGAAGGGCTCGCACACGGCGAGGTTTGGCGAGGTCGAGCAGCGTGGGTATGCGCTGACGCGCGCCGGCCGCCGGCTTTACGACCAGATCCTGGACCAGGTCAACCGCGAGTCGGCCGAGAAGCGCGCGCACTCGGTGCGGTATGAGGACCTGCTGGAGAAACACTTCGAGCAGTTCCCAGATGACCTGGCTGAGCTGCAGTCGCGTGGGCTGGCGTTCTTCTGCTTCCGGCTGACACCCGCGGCGGAGAAGAGCTTGGACGCTGCGACGACAGTAGACAAGTCCGTGGGCTTGTCGCAGCTTCTAGAGAGTGGCATCCTCGAGTATGAGCCCATCACGTATGAGGACTTCCTGCCGCTGTCTGCGGGTGGCATCTTCAACTCCAATCTCGGCAATACGTCCACGTCAAAACAGTTGATCATGGAAGCCGACGCGGATCTCGATGGGTTCCAGCGGATGCTGGGAGCGTCGGTGACGGACGAATTCCATCTGTACGAGAAGATGCAGAGCGATAGTCTGGAGAGATGCCGGAAACAGCTAGGGCTGGATGTGATCTGGTAGGCTGTGCGAGGTCTGTGTATGCGAGATGACAGTCATAATAGCATTGTATTCCATTCCTGTCCAGACTCGGCACATGTAACTCTCTCTTCGGGATGCCCGGAAGAGGAAACTGGTTAAGCTTCATCTCGGGCCGGACGCTTGACAGACGCCACTCGGCCGTCGCAGTCTCTTCTTCTTATGGAACTCTTCTCGATCTCAACCATGGTTCTTCTAGGTCAGGGTGTAGTGACCCTCTGTCCTGCAACCTTCTTAAGGCCGCTCCGTCATGTCTCCCTTGGGTTCGTACGGCTAAATGGCAGGCCGTGAGGATGGATTCCGGTCAGAATGATGATCAAAACATCGCCTATCGCATATGGGTTGGGACGATCGTGACAATCGTGCCGGCGACCTTCGCGGTCGTCCTGCGTTTCCTCGGCCGGCACGTCTCTCGTGCGGGCTTCTGGTGGGATGATTATACGATAGCAATTGCATTGGTAAGATCTGCTCTTGATGATTGTCCAGCTCTGCTGATGTGTTTGGCTCTAGGTGTTCAATTGGGCTATGGCTATCTTGCGATGGGTACAGGTCATCTACTGGGGGTTTGGTCGACATGCAGCCTTCCTTTCGGAAGAAGACGTTCGGAGCTACCAGAAAGTACGTATATTCTGCTCTAGTCATTCGGAAAGTCAGTCTCAAGAAACTGACTAAACCGCTGTATAGAGCTTCCTCGGAGTGCAGATCCTATACTTCACCAACGCTGTGTTCACCAAGTCCTCGCTCCTGCTGCTCTACCAGCGGATCTTCGGGGTAGTCTCGTGGTTTCGCTGGGTCCTCCGGTTTACAGGGTTTCTCGTCACGGCATACTGGATTGCATGCTCGATTGTGGCGATCTGGGGATGCTCGCCGGTATCCTACTTCTGGAACATGAAGCAACCGGGATCGTGCATCAACGAGACGAACTTCTTCCGATGGAATGGCATAGCGAATATCATTCTCGATTTCCTGGTCTTGTGCGTGCCATTTCCCATGCTATGGTATCTCAAGGCCAGCCTGCGACAGAAGCTGGTGCTGTCGGGAATCTTTCTGCTCGGTGGATTGTAAGCTTCCATTCCGTTACACCTACCCCGTTTTAATCCATTAATATCGACACCTCCAGTGTCTGTGTCACCTCAATCGTCCGGGTCATCGCTTTCGACCTCCAGAACAGCGTTGATCCGACGTATACCACCGTCGACACCGCCGCCTGGTCCTCTATCGAACAGTCCGTCGGCATCCTATGCGCCTGTCTGCCGACTATGCGCCCCTTCTTCCGACGATTGTATGGCGATTCAGGGAAGCAGAGCGATCAGACTTCACAGACACTACGGACTGCTTCTCCCCAGTCCGGGGGAGGGCCGGCAACCACCACCGATCGAGGAATGGCACAGCTCGGGCATCTGGATCTCGACCGGATAGAGACGTTACCGTCGGAGCTTGAGAACCAGCTCACTGAGACTTTTAGTAAGGGGACATCTGTTGGGGAGGAAGAAAGACAGTCGTGTAACCCGGACGATATGGCTGCAGACGAAGAACAGGCTTTGCGACAGACTCACACCGGGAATCGTTGATCTAGACTGTTAATAGAATCCAATGCGATAGACTTTTGACATATATAGCTTTCAGATGCTGGATGGCAACGAAAGACTGCTCAGCAAGGGATAGTATGTACGGGGTAGTCATGTCTATGTCCGAGATGCCTGGGACTTTCCTCATTCGGCCGCTCTCCGCGCTCTCCGCATGCGAGCATTCCGATCTGCTTCAATCAGACCATCTTCCATCCGCTCCCTCCACTACATCGGACATCTTGCATGACACTAATGCTCTAGTCGAAGTCAGCTCAGACTTTCTCATTTTGGTCTCCTGCTCGTCGCATAAGCGACTTCTCGCTCCGCGATTATCTAGACCACTGAGCTCGCCCGTCACAGTACCACAATGCGAGCCATCCACACTATCTTGCTTTTCACCCTCGCAGCGGTGGCTATCGCCCAGCTCAATCTCTTCGACTATGGGCAGACTGGACCTCTCCTAGGCACTTCCTTCGGTATCCCAGGGGCGAATGCTACCTATGACTACGTGGTGGTTGGGGGGGGAACGCCGGCCTAACACTTGCCAGTCGACTTACGGAAGGTAATCCCAACCTCACTGTCGCTGTTGTCGAGGCCGGCGGTTTCTACGAAGTTGATAATGGAAACCTGTCCGTGGTGCCCGGGTATACCACCTACTTTACCGGCTCGGATCCGAACGACTATCAGCCTCTGGTAGACTGGGGCATCTCCACGCAGCCACAGAGAGGACTAGCAGACCGTGTTGTCCACTACGCTCGAGGAAAGACTCTAGGGGGCAGTTCGGCCAGGAACTACATGGTGTATCACCGGCCGACGATTCAGAGTATGCAGAGATGGGCTGATGAGGTCGGCGATGAGAGCTATACATTCGACAACATGCTGCCGTACTTTAAGAAATCAGTCCACTATACCCCGCCAAACCAGACGCTATACGCCAATACCTCCAACACTCAAACGCCAGATGCGTTCTCCCCGGACGGGGGTCCATTGGAAGTATCGTTCAGCAACATCGTGCTTGCCTTTGGGACATGGGCTCGGAAGGCCTACATTGCTCTCGGCATGAAGCAGATTGACGGTCTCAACAGTGGCGAGCTTTTGGGTTCTGCGTTTGGAACGTCCACTATCAATCCCACCAACGCACATCGGTCGTCGTCTGAATCCAGCTTTCTGCGACAGGCCCTGAATACTGGCCACGGCCCGGTCATCTATAGAAACTCACACGCCCAGAAGATCCTGTTTGATTCCGACAAAGCCGCGACTGGGGTCGAGGTCTCAACTGCAGGGACCTTCGGCACGCCTCCGCTCAGCTTCACCCTCAATGTTCGGAAGGAGGTGATCTTATCCGCAGGCGCATTTCAGTCGCCCCAACTGCTGATGGTGTCTGGTATCGGATCGTGCGATGAGCTCCGGAACTTCAAGATCCCATGCCTCCAGAACTTACCTGGCGTTGGTAAGAACATGGAAGATCATGTGCTATTCGGGGCTTCGCACCGAGTGAACTTCCCAACCGCATCGGCAACTGCTAATAATGCGACGCTGGCCGCTCTCATGGTCGAAGCATACATCAACAACGCTGCTGGCTCGCTGACTGTTTTCGGACCGGGATATTTTGGCTGGGAGAAGATGCCCGAACCATACCGGTCGAGGCTGTCGCAACAGTCCATCAAGGCTCTCTCGAGCTTCCCGGATGACTGGCCTGAGATTGAATGGCTGACCATTGGCGCGTTCAACGGTTATGGCATGAACAAACAGACGGCGGATCCCAGAGACGGTCATAATTATGGCACCATCAGTTCGGCACTCGTCGCCCCGTTGTCTCGCGGCAGCGTCTCCCTCGCTGGACCCGACATGAACACCCTTCCTTTAGTGGACCCTCAATGGCTGGTCAATCCTACCGATAGGGAGCTAGCCATCGAGGCCTTCAAACGAGGACGCCAGATCTGGGACAAACTGGCCGAGTTGGGGGCTGCAGACCCTGAGGAATACTTCCCTGGACCCAACGTGACAACGGATGAGCAGATCCACGAGTTCATTCAGAAAAGCATGACCACCGTGTATCATGCGTCCTGCACCTGCAAGATGGGTCGCAGACAAGACCCGCTGGCGGTGATAGATAGCAGTGCTCGCGTCTATGGCGTGCAGCGATTGCGAGTCGTCGACAGCAGCAGCTTTCCATTCTTGCCTCCAGGTCATCCGCAGTCAGTTGTGTATGCGCTTGCAGAGAAGATAGCAGATGAGATTCTGCAGGGTTCGTCCGGGTTGTGAATGAAGATGGCATCGTTACGCTTGACGAAGAGTGTAGTAAGAAAACATCCAATGCAATTAGCGTACAATACAACGCACAAACAACGTGCCACAAATCTATCTGTACATGCCGGTCTCCAAATAAACCCAACCAGAAATCCATCATGCAATCCCATCTCCTCATCTCATTTTACCCCCATCCTTCAGAAACTATCAAGCAGAAACCCCCTCCCCATCAGGAACAACAACCGCCCCCTCCGCCAACAACTCCTCCGCCGTCTTAACCTTAACATCCATCACCCGCAGCAGCGTATACCGATGCTTACTGCGCACCTGGCGCACATGCCGCTGTCTGCGCTTCGTCTTCTCCTTGACGCGGAGCGGCTCCGCATCCACCCCCATCACCCGCACCCGGCACTCGAACAGCCGCTCGTCGACGTACGGCGCGCCCTTGAGCGTGAACTCGCGCGACCCCAGCACCGACGCCCGGTTGAACCGCAGCACGTCGCCCGGCTTCACCCGCGGCATCAGGAACGGCAGCCGCAGCTGGTCGCCCGCCGTCAGGAGGTACGGCCGGTCGTGCAGATGTGCCGTGATGTAGTGCGGGCTTTGCGCGGTCAGCAGCGGCAGCTTGTCGAGCAGCGATTGCGACACTTGGAGCGGTGCGGTGAAGGTCGGTGGGAGCGGTTGTTTGGTGGGTGGGAGGTGCGATGCGGAGGGTGCGGAGGGGGTGGAGGTCTGCGCGCGCGGCGTCGCGCTCAGCGGCTCTGTCGGGTGTGTAGGGTTGGTAGTGGTGGTGGTGCTCGTCGTCGTGCTCGAGGCGTACCGCAGGCCCGGCGTGAAGAAGCGGGCTGTCCGGAGCGGGTTCATCTGCTCCAGCGGCTGGGCGAGGGCGAGGGCCCGCGTGAGGGTTGGTCGGGAGAACATCCTGCAGAGGCCACAGGCTGGTTTTCTCCAGTGGTGGTGTTGGTGTGGTGGAATTGGGGAGTGTGCAGAGAGTTGATTGCGTTTTTGCGGAAGTGAAGCCAAAAGAGAAATTCCCGCGGGTGGGCACGTGACTTGGGTTTGGTCGGACACGACAGGCTGTTACCTGTTAGCATCCATGACTGGTATTCAATATGGATTGTAAAAGAAATAGTTTCCTCTTCCTCTTGCTTTTTCTCTCTAGTCGATGTAAGATCTCCATCAGTAGGTGGCCATACTGCCATCAACGTTGAGATCACATGACTTCCCTTCTCCAGATCTATCCTCTAGAAACACTACAACCAGGCACAATAATTCAATAGGTGGAATTATTAAGTAGACAGACTAAACACTGACTCCTATGCCATGCTGCACAGCTCCAATGCAATCCCATGCTATGCTCAAACGCAACCAAACACCATTCCTCATGCCAAAAAGTAGGACCATAGATCCAAGAACAAAAATACAGTAGTATCACAAAGGAAACAACTCAGGGGTATGGACTTGAACGCCGGTCGTCGGATCATTCAGAATATGAGAAGACAGAAAAATAAACCCAAAACAAAGGAGAAAGAGCGTCAAGACGAATGGCATCAGGCGTTTTCTTCCAACGCCGCCTTGATCTTTGCAAAGAAGCCAGCGGGCCAGGCAGCAAGCTCCTCATCTTTCGGAATGCCTCGGACGCGGCAATGGTTGACGACATTGACCAGGATCCGATTGAGCATTTCTTGCGTGACGGGAACAGCACCTTCGAGTTGCGCGTCGGGATAGAGGAACGGATCCCGCTGCGCCAAAAGCCCTTCCACTGTCGGTCGTAATGTCTGGTCTCGTTGCAAACAGCCCTTCAAAGTCCGGATCAATCCGGGAGGGACCGCAACTCCGCCGACACCAAAAGCGGGGAATTCAATCTTGACGTTGGGGTTAGGAATAGCCAAAATGCGTTCGTAGTACTTGGCAATCTTCGCGAACGGGGGTTGGCCGTACACCATTTTGTACAGGATACATCCGAGACTCCAAACGTCACTGGGTTTCCCCAGCTTCATCACCTTTCCAACACTGGCCGGTAATCCAAGAGATGCATTGGAGTCAATCAATGCTTCCGGTGACATGTAGTTCGGGGTTCCAACTTGCTGCTCACGATGAACATTGACCGTGTTATCCTGGATGGCATTGGCAATTCCAAAATCAATCAACTTCAGTCGGCCTTGGACGAGGAGGAAGTTCGCCGGCTTTAGATCAGAATGCACAATGTTATAGTTGTGGACAGCCTGAACACATTCCAACATTTCCTTCCAATAGTAGCGAGTGAAGTTGATATCCAGTGTGGCATCTTCGGCATTGAGCCGATATGTAAGGATCTTCTCCAGATCCGACTCGCCGATCTCCATAAGAACGCTGAGAGTATGTTTGTCCATGTTCAGCTCCCAATCAAACAGACGCACAACCCGGTCAATGTTTTCTAGCTTTTTGAGGAGGTCAATCTCCCCCTTGTAGCCAGCCAAGGTCACCGGGTCAACGTCTTCCAGGTTTACTCGCTTCAGGGCGAATATCTTGTAATTCTCCGCCATGACACGATACACGCGAGAGCTACCGCCACGGCCGATGCAGTCTAGCCTCGTAAACGGCTTGTGATTGACGGAAACCTGACTTCGCTTTTTCCGCGACTGAGAAGCCGTTGCTGCCCCGCCTGTAGCTGTGGCCGTCTCGAGGACTGACATTTTGGGCGGCGGGGGCGGAGCAGGTCTATGTGGCGTGTTGCTGCTTCGCGTGGCGAGGATTTTCCGGGGTGAATTCGCTGCTGGCGTCTCTTCCTTCTTCTCATCTCCATAGACAACCGAAAGCTTCTCTGGCTTGTCTAGTAGATTGAAGCCCTGCGGTTTCACCCGCTTGAACGTCGGTGGAGGGTCGTTTTCCTGGTCTCTGCCAGAAGGCAGAGTAGGCGGGGGTGGCACTTTGAAGACCGGTTGTTCCCTGGAGTTTGCTTTCGATGACATCTCGGAAGAGGAACCAGGGGTTGATTTGGCGTGTGATCCATAGGACTTTGGAGAAGACGATCGGGAGAAGGGTCCTTCACCAGACGAGCCATTGGCATCGAACCGCCGGTCTCTATCGGATCTTTGTGGGGGGCTAGGATCTGCCCAGGACACTTTGGGCGACGAGGGTTTCGCTGTATTCTTGTAGTCGTACTCAAGGTTGTTATCGTTCTGTTCAGCCAGGTAGTCTCTGGCGCCATCCGTGGGGAAGTCTTGTTCGTTATTTTCCTCGCTCTGTCGTCTTAGGACCCCTCTCCTGGCAGGGCCGTTCAAGAATGTACCAGTCAATCTGCCAACCCTTTTCACCCGTAGCGAAC